TCTCCTGAACCACTTCAAACAGCTTTTTGCGCTATTGCGCGGAATTAAGGCACGATTAATATTACTTCATATCCACTAAAATCACGAAACACTTTCACAACACACAAATTTGAATAAGCAGGTGTTTAATGAGCTGCAAATATTTTGTAGACAAAATAGAAATAACAAATACGAGTTCACGGATCGAGTTCCTCGTGTTTAAAAAATAAAGTTATAAACTAACTGGCAGTTACATATTCCAAATTTGTAGAAAAAATATTTGCGGGAGCTAACTTCTCCCCGAATATCTATTTCCCTAATGCAAAAAGCGCTAGCGTAAACAACATTTGAAAAGATTAATTGAAACCTAACGGACTATAAGGTGTCCTTTAATCATTTGTACTTCAAATCCAGCAACCTTCCTACTCAGACCACAAATTTCAAGTTTCCATGCTGTCGTCCATTGATGTAGACGAGTGACTGCGTCCCGATGCAGAAAGTCCTCGGCTATAGGACGACTGCAGAGAAAATAGAGAAAAAAAAGACATCAGTTTAAATGGCACAATCATTGAAAGAAAAAAGAAAGATTTTTTTAAATAAAAAATCGTTTCCTCAACCTATATTAAAAGTGCAAATCTTGATCAGAGGAAAAAGGGTTTGGTTTTTCAGCTTCGGCGTACTGAGCAGGTTCCCCAGTGGACGAGCCAACGACAACAAGCATTCGCCTTAAAATGGGTGATCAAGCAAGGAGGTATCACCTTCAGGAAGGACTAGGGTTTGGAACTTTGAGGGACGTCCAAGTAGAGCGTGGTTTAAAAAGTGTACACTAGACCTAGTCACCCGCTTGAGATTTCCCGGGTCCATGAAATTGTTTGCAAGCAGTTAGAAGGTGCTTTTTAAACTTGTAGTTGGATTCAAAAGATAAAAAGGCATCGAATTTTTTCAGTAAGTATGCATATCATCATTTTTACGATCCCGAAAAGGGAATAGTGCTTACCCTTCTTAAGGGTGTGCTCGTGTCTATCGGTTGAGGAGGGCGGCTTAACGACACCTATCCCACAAACAGGCCGGGTTAGAAAACGCATTTCCAGCGGAAGCTACTTTGCACACTTTAAGTGTCTACTTAAAAACTAGCTTTTATCGACATCAGTAAGTTGTCATTTTGAATTCACTATTTCTGGTAAAAAAAATTTTGAAACTGTGCAAATTTGGAACAGGAGACAATTCCAATTAAAAGTCTTTAAGTTAAAAATAAAGTGTGCAAAGTAATTCAATAATATTTTTGATCTGTGATACAAGCATAGAAATGTCAAGAAAGACGGATTTAGAAGCGATTACAGATGAAGTGGAAAATCAGGAATGGAACAAAGTAGCCGGAAGTGAAGTGGAGAATGGAACAAGGTGTTAAAAGGGGAATGAAGAAAAAGTGATCAATGCAACAATGGCTGGAGTTACGAGCTTAGTGCGGCAGGCGAATCTCTCTCGGCGAGTTGTGTGATGATGACTTGACGAGTACGACAAAATGAGGTGATCGTACACTGCAAGTTTGTGCCATTGCACTCTCTGAGCTGATATGTTTACCTAAGGTGCAGTCTTCAATCCTCTCCCTTAGGAGTGGGACCGCGGGATCTCTGTGGCATCCACATGCCGAGAGAGAGCAACAGTTAATAGTGAACACCTGACAGGTTAGGCTACAGATTATCAGCTCCTCGCCCAGTTTAGTGGAATATCAGATATACTCACCGACACTAAGCTAAGTGCATAAAGATACCAAATAAATAAGATTTCAGCATGGAAAAGGCGGACAGCATAGGCGCACACATCACTAGTTCTGTTAAAGATTATGAGTGCCTAACCCAGTGAGGCTTGACCCTACATATACTCACCGACGCCAATTAGGTGCGTGCAAAAATATTTTAAGATACATAATAAATAAGATAAAGAATTAAAGTAGAAAAAATAGGAAGAAAAGTCTTAAATTCATTGAAGAGACATTAAGCGAGCCCAATAATTAAAAAATATATGTACATGTTGGATGGAAAGAAATACAATCATAAATACGATAGATTTTAGCTCGAGGAGAAAAATGAAAAGAATTGGAAGCTGTAGAAGATCTCAGAAAGATACGCAACTGATTTGAGCCAAATCAATTCACAGGCATTAATCTAAGATGTTCAGAGTTGCTCAAGTGAGCATTGATTGGATCGAATTAAGCTCAATACGACAGGCAGGTGCCTTTAATACACAAAGCAGAAATTACAAGCCAAGAGTATAAAAAGAAAAAGCACAAGGCACTCTCGACTGGATGAAGTGTATCTGAGTTAGGAAGGGTGCCACATGGAAACTGGGAAAACCGCGGTGGAACAAGGTGCGAAGTACGTTGGTTTTCAGTGACGTTGACTCTGTGAACCACTAAAACGCACCCGTCAATCATATTAAGAGACGTATGCATGTCAAACAAGGTTGAATTAGGCAGTGTGGCATACCTCAAGTTAATTATACAGAGAAAAGAGCTGGAGAGGAACTATCCAAAGAATAGCACAATGAAAATAGCTCTTAGTCAAGCAGGCATAAACATAAAATACACCGACGAAAACGACCTTGAAAATGAAAAAGATTGAGATAACAAAAGAACAGACAGTCAGACAGTAAAGCAAAAGTTTACGTGAAGACATTCATCAACAAATCACCAGGCTCGTCATGTCATCGTAAAATAAACAAACGATTTGTAAACAAGTCATCAACTTTCATTAAACTGCTGTACTTAGCACAGAGCTGGTACACCAGTTAAGCGGAACGAAATCTAGACGTTGAAAGACTGCCAAGATTGTCAGCTTTATAGGAGATTTGGCCGAAGGTCATGTTTACTTAACTTAGGAAATTTATTATTCGCACGAGGCGCTACTTAAGAGTGAAAACTATGCTCTGGACCACACTTTTAGGCCATGCTAATAATAGAACGGAGGTTTTATTTTGACCAATCGACGGCGTTAACTGTTATCAATATCTTTCATCTTTTTTATGCAAATTTCATTCATTCTTTGCCAGCAAACGAAAGCAAACACTTAGGACGCAATATGTCAAGTCTCAATATTTACATTCCAAAGCGGTGGCAATTTACACCTCCTTGTCTACTAATTCATTTATTGAAGCCAATAAATCGTCATTAGGGGAAGAAAGCATTTATTCACAATGGAACTAGTGAAACTCTTCGTTTCTTAACTTGAGAAACAAGTTTGGCGTGCGCAATTTTGGGTTTTTCGTAGTAATGATACTCTTTGTTTCCTAGCGTGAGAAACAGTTTGGCGAACGCAATTTTGGGTTTTTCGTGGATCAGTGAATTTCCCAATCATTCATACAATGATGAAAAGTTTTATTTAGAGAAATCCTTTTTCACATAGTTTGAAACTAATTCAGTTGGAATTGACGAAGCACTGACACGGGTAGAACCGATAATATATCTTGACATGACGACCCACTAATAAAATCTGAAAGAATCACAAAAGACGTGGCACAAGAGACAGAAAAGAGAACATCAAGAAGACAGAGAGGTATGACAAACAGACGATCGGGTCAATAATAGCACAAGAGTCTGGAGTGATGGTCAGAATCTCTAGCGGAGTTTGGAAATGACGAAGCTCTGACACG